CTCGTACAGTACCGTACCGGTATAGGTGTCCCCCTCTCGCTAATCACCGATCACAAAATACGAGAAAGTAATTATAGAAAACCCCCCTGAAACCCTTTGCCACATGGACCTATTACTAACGCTCGTGTTCACGGGAACGGACGTTCAGAAGCTACGGTAACCTTCAACCTCCAAAGACCACAATGTCATGTGAGAGCAACTCTTGTGCTGGTGGGATCAGCACGCCTAGGCATGTGTCTCGCCATCGCCCATCTTGACTAAATTATCGCCTAACATGATGCAGAATCCCACAGAATCCCAAACGATTTAGCCGTGTGCTATGTAGTCCAGAATTCCATACTTTGGAAAACGGGTCAAAAACATAACCTCCGAGAGACGTACAACATATATATATATATATAGGTAAAACACAAGACTTTACCGAGGAGGAAACTCCAACGACGTAGCACATGGTTCAATTATTGGAGATTTCACGGTATCCTGTCCTACTATACTTGCACGACAGGCCCAACAAGGACAGGCACTCGTGCAAGCAAGATGCGTGTTGATGTCTACGGTAGGTGGAAATCCGGAACCTGGTCTCCAGATCTGGTGTTTCCAAACTGGCGTTATTAAATAAGTAATGATAATATGGGAACAGATAGTAGGCTACAAAGCCACAATTCTATTCATCAGCGATAAATTACCCACCAATAAACTTCAGTCTTGTATTGAAAATATCGGCTGAAATGTCTCCCCCTGGCCGTATTGCTCACTAAAATTACTGCAATAACGACCCAAGGTTCCATACCCACCTACATGACACTCGCAATCGCACCCTAGCATAATGTCCAAGCGATTTAGACACTTCCGACCCTTATAAAGTAATCATTGGTCTTTTACAACGTAAGGCATGAATGAGTTCATTTCCCCCACGATAGTCCAGAGGTTAGAGTAAACGCAATTGGATAGCCAACTTGATACCTGTCTGGGATATCTCAGGTATCATATCGGTAGAAGTTGGAGCGGAATCAGGAATCATTAATGTACTCGGGTATGGACGTGGGATACCGGACGGCCATGGATTCTAGGGGCCTGACCGTTCTGCCCTCATAGGAAATAAAAGAATGAATTTGGCATGAGAATTGCTCGAACAAGCAACAAGCTTTGATACCTCTAATCCCTGCTGTCCGGTCACCCACGTCCATACCCGAGTACCGGATAGTCCGTCCATTCTCTCTGAACTGTGCAGGGAAATCTGTCTCATTGCATCATATCAGTTTGCCCGGATACTCCATCCTCTTCAGAAGGAACAAAAAAGTAGAAAAGGGCATTCGGCAGTCACCAGGACACGGTGCTCGGAAACCTCCAGTGACACCCGATGCGTTCTTGCGATCGTAGACTAAACCCCAATCTGTCTGCCCCCGATATTAGCTTTTCAGCCATAATACTCCACATTTCCACGTACCGTACTACCCAGACCACCCAGACCAATTCAATACTAGCAAATCATCATCTCAGAGGGCAGCGCCCCGGACCGGCCAAACGACATTCCCAAACCGGACCCAACAGTATAACCCACCACCCACCGTTATCTCCAAAAACTTCACACACTCCTGCATCGTCACCACCCCGGAGATCCATACCCGAGTGACACATCATGCCCACACCCACCCAACCGTAAATATCTGACAACGGTATACTCAAGTACCGTATATGTATCACCAAACACTTGCATCACCACGATACGTCACCAACAAGTCAACCCCAACCCCAGCGAGGAACCGCTCGCCAGCGTACAAAGCCGGGGAGTTGGTCGAACGGAGAAGTGAATGACCTAAGCTAAACTAGCCAAAATGTGAAAATCCGGACATCTCAATTGACGTCCAACGGTAGAAGATATTCCTGATTAGCAGCACACGTTATATTCCCCCCTCCCGCATTTTTTTTTTTTTTCTCACCACCACAGCTGAATCCGCAGTCCTGATTTGGGGGAAAATTGTCTTGTGGGGGGTTTGTGCGATTGATTCATTATGTGTCCGACCGGCCTCTCGGTCCGGTACTCGTACCGTAGTGGAAGAGTGTACGAAATGATTGAACAAGTGAGGGAAAGGTCAAGGGTGCACAACAATCACATACGGTCCCACCGCACTCTCAGAAAAGCCATCCGTAAGATTCTCAAGCCCACTTCCCAGCACAAGGAAGGAAGGAAGGAAGTACCGGTAGGATAAACCTCACACCTCCCGGACCAAGTGATGACCCGAACCACCCACCGCAGTCGGGTATCAAATATCATCTCGGAGTATGATTGAAAGAAGTCAGCAACGCCCGCCATTATACACGTAACACGATGAATCTTCCCTACCAAATTACCCAACACCCACCACCACCACCATACAAATGCCCGCCCGGGCGAAAAAGATAGAATTTCTCTGTGTGGGAAAAAGTAAGCAGGGATCAAGTCGATAAACAGATAAATACCCTGGAAAGAGAGAAACACAGTCCTCGGGGACGAGCAGAAATCGGAAACCCATCAGTCAGTCGCAGTGATGTCTTTTCTTCCCGGAAACCCCGAATTTAAGCGATTCCGAAGCCGAAAAGGGCCTCCGGGGCCGTTATGGTGATCTTCAGAGTCAATTTACGGCACAGGCAATAACTTAACCGTCAGCTACCGTCTACCGCTCTTGTCATAACTTGGCACACCTTGTTTTCTTGTCAGTAGCGAGACAATGTCTCCTGTCCACTCCGGGTTATCCGTACTCGAGTACCCACCAAACTCAAAGTATTGTCTTCCCACCGCCGCAGCATAGGATCTCGCTGACCATGTTTTTTTTCATTCTTTTTTTTATTCCAAAATTTTCAGTCGAGAGCCTACACTCCCGAAATACATGTCCGCCAGAAACGGACAAGCAAACAAACAAAAAGCTACCAAAACCGTGAACGAACCAACTCTATTATAATGATACCTCCGAAAGCAGGGCAGGTATGAAGAAAAAAGAAGGATCAAAAAAAGCCAGACCATTCACAATCCCGTACCGTACGATACCTTCGAATCCGGCGCTTGAACTCTGTATACTGACAGTAGGTATTCAATAAACAGATCGACCGATCGATCGATCCGCCGCGAGAATGTAGGGTAGCACACGGTAAAGCACAGTGCAGTACAGTACCGGTAGCAGAATGCTTAAGGTTTAATGCTCCGTCCGGGATCGGGTCGTGAGTTTCAGAAAGTGGGAAGGTACATACCGGTACCATGCGCTACCTACCCACCCACCGTGCCTACCTACCTACCTTATCATGCTACGATTGTGATTGATTGAGTGCAAAGTGCGGGCGGCGGCGGGGGGGAGGGGGGGTTGGATAGGATAAAAGAGGATGTAGACTATCCGGTCGGGTAGCGCGTGTGATCGTTCCATACGAAAGAGTACTTGTACAGTACGATACGTATCATACGGTACGTATTTTGTGCCATACCGATAAGAGGGGTACACGGTACTGCATGATGCTTATCTGCTTGGAAAGGATCAAAGCACTCACTCACTCACTCGCCCAACCCCCAAGGAACAGAACGGAACGGAAGTAAAGTAAAGTACTCGAGTAAAGTAAAGTCAAGTAAATTAAAGTGGAGGATACCTCGATAAGCCCCCCAATCAATCAATCAATTCCGCACAGCACTGTAACCGTAACGGCCCACCCTGTAATGCTTCGTGCAGTGCTAGTACTCGAGTAGAAAGTGTACGGTACTGTACAAGTATGATAGACCAGACACCTCACCGCACCAACCACCCAACCACCCAACCGACCGACCAATTAGGCAGACAGATACTCCAAATCCGGATAGCAACCCGAGTGACACACCATGACACCGCATCCATTCCATTCCATTCCGTCCGCCGTGTTCCTACCAACCAACCAACCAACCAGTGCTTGCCATGGGCTTTTATATTAAAATAGCTACGGTCTTAGGTTTCGAGGCACGAGCACAGTGCCAGCCGGACTGGAAGCTTGTATGATAATATTATTATGAAATGGAGAGAACTGTAAAACCCTTCCTTTACCAACTACCACCTTGCTATACCCGCAACCCCATCAATAAATAAATAAACCAATACTTCTTCGAGGATGGAGAGTAAGGCATATCGGATTCTTCTGCTGTTAAACAAGTCAATCTCTACAGTGTGCTCCGGTTAGCTACAGTGGTAGTGTATTTTCTGAACCGAAACTCACAATTAAATCAATTTCAAGTTACCACTGTCAGAAAATTTCATAATGTGGGCTTACCTCCTGGATCGGTGATGTCGTCAGGCATTGGAACTCTGTAGGAAACAAGAGCTGGTCATGCTTGTACCCGGCCTACAAGGCACCACGCGCCAGGCCATGTTTTTTTGGCGATCCCTGCCTACAATTTGGTGGGCAGGTCGGGCTTTGCTTGGCCCGGCCCCGCTCGGCCCATGGCAAGCACTGCAGCCAGCCACACCCAACCCCCCTTTTGACCCTTTGTGATAATTTAAAGTACTATTCTTGAATACAGTACTCGTACTCGACCACACATTCAGCCCGACGCGGAGTAAAGTTCCACCAGGTTGTTGGGTGGCCGAGTTTACTCTAGTGCAGTACGGTACTCGCACAGTACAACCTAATACACGAAAAGGGTGGCAAGGCGGAAGAAGTAAACCTTTTTTTTGACGGGGACGGTGAGGTGTTATGCCCGGGACGGGGGTGTGGGTCGTGTGACAAGAGCAAGGTACTCGAGTAAGGTATCCACTTTTGGCCAAAATGGAATGTGCCTGTCACATCGCGCGCCGTCAATGACCCCGGAGCGACGCAAGCGGTGCCGAGACACACCGCTTGTATCGCGATCATTAAGGAAGGAACACGCCAAAGATCTCGGCTAGGACTAATTCGGTAAGAAAATCCGGACATTTGTTCCGTCGTACATGACCTAGTGTGACCAGGAAGGGAAATGGAAGGTAAGAGAGGTAAAAAAGAAAGCAAGGTCAAGAGAAAAAATTGTATAATTAATAAATTCTAGAGCAAAATATAATACGTGCACCGGTCATCGCGGTTTTGAATAGTCAAGTGCGTTGCCCGTTCCCGTGCCTGAAGCGAAAAACTAGCCAAAAGAAACAGAACAGGTAAGATCCCACTATACTCCGAATTGAGGAAACGTGAAGGATAAAGTGTAAAAGGGTGGAAAAATTGTCGAGCCGACTTCGATTAAGCTTTAAGAAAGGGCCCTTGCCATAATACACACACCGCACCTACTTTAAAAAGATAAAAAAACGACCCCAGGAAGAAACTCTACATGTTCGTTGCGAATTCCCCAAAGAAAGTGACCAGAAGAAGAAAAACCAGATAAAAACACCCATTAAATGCCGTCGGTTCGTGTAAATGCCTTCCCCCCTCCATTTCCCAGACCCGCAAGCGATCGTCAAGCCGTTCGTTAAAACCGCATGAGTATTGCGGGCGTAAATGTTGTTGCATTTACAGCAGGTAAGCGACAGCTCCAATGAGACCGGCCATTGCGGCACCGGCAACAGTGGCCTTGTTGGCCGAACCGGTGAATGGCGGGGTGGTTGGTGCTGGCTTGCTGGTGTTGGCGGGCGCAGAAGGCTTATAGGTCGGGGCGGTGCCGTTGGGATAGACTGGAGCGGGGCTTCCGGTGGGGGGGTAAACAGGGGCGGTTCCAACCGGAACGGAGCTACAAAGCCGTTAATATCATAGCCAAATTGTACCAATGGAGGAATGATTGCTACTTACCACTTTCCGGTGCAGACACTGGTTGGCTGGATGGTGGTATAGACCTTGGTAACAGTGCAAGGGCAGTTGGTGATAGTCAAAGTGGTGGCCTTGAATTCAATTGTTAGAAATAGCTCAATTCCAATTGTCGAGCGGAAGGCATACCTTGGTGACAGTATAGGTCTTGTTGTTCTGCACAACGGTAGTAGGACCTGGGCAGTAGGTGGTGTAAGCAGTGACAACCTCGGTGGTTGTGTACTCAGTGCCGTTCTTAACGACGCCGGCAGAGGCACCAGCAACGACAGAGAAAACAGCGGCAATGGTAGCGAAACGCATTTTGACTAGTTTTTTTGTTTTAAAGAAAAGACTTTAAAAGGGGAGAAGGGGAATTATTAGAGTTAGGGGGTGCTATTAAAACGAATGAATACGCTATAGAGCGAGCGTGGTGATGGTGGGAGAAGCTAAAGGTAAGAGAGAAGAAGCGACTGTGGGTGGTGAGAGAAGAGGGAGAGGAGAGTTAGTGGGTCTGTTCCAAGGTCTTTATAGACGGTTTGTCAATTGTATTGCGATTGACGGAGTTGGGGGGGGGGGGGGAATAGGGTTTGTGACTTCTCTGCCCTAGCCACTGGTCTGGGCCGATGGCATGGACGTGGGGCGTCAGGTTAGCAGGGGTCGGGAAGAAAAAAAATTGCAGGTGAGAAGAAAGGGGGGTGTGGGCCTTCCTTTCCCTCCATCTCACCCACCCACCCACTCACTCGCTCACTCACGCCCACTCACTCCCTCGCTAATGACTATCCCCCCTTGCCCGCTGCCGTCTGTAGAAGGCTTGTGCGCGTTAGTTTGCGGTCAGGGCAGGTGAGTGCCACTCTCTATCAATTCCGGGAAATTAGCATCCATCCATCTCTCCCTGTCCGCTCGAGTACTTGTACGGTTCTCGTACCCTACCGGCACCGGTATTTCCTTTCGAATATTTTACCAAAAATAGTACATCAAGTACTCGAGTACACAGTACACTGCAAGGAAAGGTTACAGCATCGATTGAACTTGAACAAACTGGTTGGGTCGTTGCCCCCTGCCATGCCGGTAGTCCGCTATCGTTCAATTTTCCTACCTTGCAATAACATCCAACTCGAACAGATTATGTGTTCTATCCCTGTCGTTCCGCCACTATCATACCCCTAACCCCCTTACGGACCAAAGCACTAGCCTCAGGCGCAGGTACGAAATCCACACCAACCCCTTGGAAGAGAAGTGAAAGTGAAGAAATAAGAAAATAAAAAAAGAAAGCAAAAGAGAAAAGGGAGAAAAGGAGCTCACATGTCGACCAATACGGTAGGACCCACCATTTTCGGTCGGATCCAGGAAAACTTTGGTGCCAGCACGACACCTTAATTCAGGCATAAACGGGACACACCCACCAACAATGTTGACCTTTTTCTCTGCCCATGATAAGGAACCTACGGTAGGTGGAGAACTTGCCTAATTGCCCAAATTAGCCACACATACTCGAGTACAATGGTTGGTTGGTTGGTTGATTAATTGATCTCCAGCGGCAAGGGCGTTGTTGTTGCTCACCTTTTTTCTACACCTCTATCTGACGATCTGGTACCGTATAGTATTCGTGCAGTACCTATACAGAACCGATTGTGGGTTGTACTCGAGTATCTAATTCTGGACAATCCTTCCACTTGCACCGCACCAGTGCTACACTTTGCACCGTTAGCGAACCCGATCATCGACTTGTCTGACGGAAGTTGTCAATCAACACGTGGCGAACACGAAAAGGAGAGAAGGATGTAAAAAAAGCTATTTTCAAGCAGCCCCCCAGACGACAACTTCTACGTACCGTACTGTGACACACTTCATCTGCTCAGCTGCTCGCAATGGAGGAACAGTACCGTATGATACGGTACCGGTACTTGTGGAAGCAGCCACCGTCGCCCTCCTCATCTGCCCTCCTTATTTCACGCCCCACAAAAGCATTTTCCAAAGAGACAAAGAATTCTTACTTGTACACCGCCAAGCACCCGTTCTCAGCAGAACCTTCACTGGCGGGGCAAGCCGATGCCGGTACTTCCGCCCGGGTACAGGTACTACGAGTAGGCTGCCGCAATGCTGACCCCCCTCCTCAATCAGCGGCAATCACTGGCTCAACTCCTCCCCACTCCTTGCGTCGCCCGATGCACCCGCCACTCGCGCTTCAACAGACTCGCCCAGTTGGGTCATTTAACCGTCCCACCGCAAGCCCCTTCCTGCCTTCCCTGCGTCACCTTACAAGTAGGGGAAGTGTGAAGAAAAAACAATGAACCCTACAGTACAAGTATCCGTTAAAAACCCGCCCTTGCATCGCACCGTTCGGGATACGGTCGACTTACTCAGCACAATAATACCTTTCAGGGAATATTACCGCCCAAGCGCTGGATCTCTCCTCAGCCCTATACCCTCCGGTGCTGGAGAATAAAGAAACAAGGTTGGCTCATCTATCGTCCCGGCCGGATCGAGCTGATTCCTGCGCGTCCTGTGAGATTACGGTACCGTAAAAACTCGAATACAAGAGAAATGTGCTAGGACGTTGCAGTTGCCTCTCCTAGTATGGCGCCGTGTATATTCCTTTTGTTTTGTCTTAGCTGAGGGCTGAGTTTGCGGTGGTTTTCCCACGCTTTGTCGAGAAGGGGAATTCCAACGTCCTAGCACATTTCTCTTGTATTTGAGTTCTTACGGTATGGCACACGAGGAGTTGGTTGGCTGGCTCCGGTCGTATTCATTACCGTATATACTGTGGTACCTTACTTTTACAGTACTCGAGTACGAGTACCGGCATTGGTGCTGAGGTGCTCGAGTACTCGGGTACTGCCTGGGTATGCATGACGATCGCCCGTAGGGGGGTTGTCCCGCCAGCCAACCAGCTCCCCAATTACCGGGACTCGCGGAATTGAGAGATGCTTTCTGACGCTTGGCGCGCAGACTCCTCCTACATACCTGGTACACTCGGAATTGGCGAGTAAGCCAACCAAATGAGAGCCGGAGTGTCAAGAAGAATAGCATGAGCTGAAGCCCTCGAGTGCCGGTAGATTGCGCCAAGCCGTCGCTACCGTAGCGAAGGGCACTTGCACCGTCACCCCGTCTCCTGTTCCTGATGGACGCCTAACCCGAGTGGCAAAACGAAACAGGCATTCATAGGGAGCATGGGGAGAACACCCGACGCGATGCGGATCCTGTGCGGCACAGGAGATTTTGGTGGTAATTTGACCGTCGCACCGTAGTACAGGTACAGTACTCGTACAAGTACGGGCCGAATCACGGTATCATGAATACCGTACGGGTACTGGACTCGAGTGCTGTACTATGGCGCAACTTGCTACGTTGTCACGGAATGAGAGTGAGAGTAAATAACCGAAATTAAAAGTTTACGTTTTCCCCCCCTTTTTTTGTTTCCTTACCCGCTTTCCCTTTTTAACTCCCGTTTTTTTTCTCTGTGGCTTGTCTACTTCCAGAATGAAAGAATGAAGCGTGGGGGGAAATCTTCAGATGGCGGCGGCTGCCCGATAATGTCCGGTGGAGGCGGGCTTGGGGACGTGCCCCGTTACAAAAAGTTGCGAAATGGCCCCGAGCTCCGAGGGTTTTCTTTTCCTTCCTTTTCTTCTTCGGAAGTTGCGCAATAGAGTTCCGGGGGTCGTACAAGGACTGAAGGTTTCGCTCTGAAGAATCAGATGTCGTACCGGCAGGGTGCTCGAGCACGCTGGATTCTACTTGTACTCGAGTACTTGTAGTGACGACCTGCCAAGTGATAATTAAACAGAAACTCTGGAAAAAGGGGGGAAAAAGGAATGCGCAACTCTTTGGTCCAGCGAGTTTCTCCACAACCTTTAGGAAAACTACAATTACCGTATGGTACCGGTACCGTACCCCATAAGATGAAGTGCTACTCGTAGTGCTCGGGTACAGCACTCGAATAAAGGAGAGGGTGCCGGTTGGTCAGGTAACTCCAGGCATGACATGACATAATAATATGATAATAATATTATTATGATTATATTCCCCACCCATTATCCCTCTTTCCCTCCCTTTCGATTCAGCTCAAGCACTCAAGCAATAACAACTAACACCAGCATTAAGCCTTATTCGGGAACTTCTTCCTTTACAAGTATCGCTACAGTGTAAGTACTGTACTTGCACACTAATAAAATCCGCCAATTGGCCCTCGCTAACCGGTATTCCCGCCCACGTGCCGCCAGATAATACCCCCGTACCACCGTTTTCGCCCCCTTGCCCCCTTCCCCTCCCCCCTTTCCCCTCCCTCCTTCGGACCCTTCAAACCAAGAAACGGGACCGAACTGGTCGGCGGTTGTAACAACGCTTGGCGCACCTTTGGTAAACACAAGCACCGGTACCGTAAGTACTAGTACAGTACTCGCGCAGTGGGGATTCTACCAAGAGGGCTTGCTGGCGCTTTCTTGGCTCAATTACAACATACGAGTACAGTACTCTAGCGACGGTACCGGCACTTTACCGGTAAGAGGAGGAAGGCAGGAGAGGAATGTCGCGCGGCGCGAGGAACAAGAATTGTGAGCGGCAGCGAAGCGAGGCCGCTCACTGTTGCATTGAACAGAATTGTACTACCCGGGTACGGTAGCTGTTCGGTACCCGACACTGGTATCGTTGCGCAAAGCGGCAGTCGGAAAACAGGGCGGAAGGTGCCTGAGGGCGGTACCGGTACCGGGCCCACTCACACTCGTACCGGTATCGGTGTTACCCAGCGCGGGGCAGAGCATTCCTCCTCATTCCGCCCTTGCTGTCCCTCCCCTGTGATGAAGTATCACACTTTTTCTTCCCTGCTTGCATTGAGCGACCTCACTTGCGCGATGGTTCAACGCCAATGAAATGAAGCGATAGATAGGTGGGCACAAGTACCGATTCACCTACACTAACCAGAAAACATCAATTGCCACTCTGCCAACCCAATGTCGTGCAGCCGCGTACTGGTACTGTACTAGTGCAGTACCCGCTCAGCTGTGGTGTCACTAGCGTTTGCCTAGTACTAGTACAAGTGCCCTATCGTGAGCGCTGGAGCTGAGCGCTTTGGCAGCGTCGTGTGGTGTCGTGCCGTGCCTACCGCCGCAGGGCAGAAATAGCCCCGCAACCACGATATCCCCGCGGCCAGTGCAAGTACTCGAGTAATCGTGCTTGCTCGCAGCGCAGCGGGGGGGGATACCGTATGATAGGTAAGTACCGTACCGTCCATAGGTGAAACTCACGATAAGCGGATACCGGTATCTACTGAGATGGACAGATGGGGTGGGTGGAGAACAGCGCTACCGTAAAGTTAGTTAGTTAGT